CGTGCAGGGGAAGAAGGAATTGAATTCTCACGTAAATACCAGAGCATCTTTCACGCAATGGAAGAAAAATGAGCCCCCAAAACCCTCTCTCTGCAAAATTCTACATGCACCAAATGTCCTTCATGGTGGGGGTGCGGCTCTGTGGGAGAGTGTAGGCGTGTGCACACACGCGCGCACACACACACACACACACACACACACCGAGCTTCTCTCACAAATGAAGACAAAATACACTTTTGAATGAAGCAAAACTAAGAGAATTCAACACCAGCACATCTGCTCTAAAAGCAACGGTAGAAGAAAGTCTCCAGGTGTGGAAGGCAGACTTCCAGGACGAAGAGCAGGGGAAGCAGCGAACATCACAGACGTCTTGACACCCTCAGCGGCTTGGAGATGTGTTTGGTGTGGAAAGCAAACAAGGCAGCGTTGCAGCGATGTTTTTAATGTCTGTGGCTGCTGGGCTCCGAGTGCCCCACCCTGTTCGTATGAAAACGTCTCTCCAGTGTGCTGGGACGGAGAGACAGGGCATTGGGAGGTGGTCAAGTCGCACCTTCCACGGGGCTGGCAACCTTACACTGGACGTGTGAGGACCTGTTGCTCCCTTTCGCAGTGTCGTCACAGCAAGAGGCACTGTCTTGAAAAGACAGGGAACCCACAGAACCCATGGATACCCAGCCCCCGGATAGGGAGAAGTAAATTCCATTCCTCATAATGTACCCACGCTGAGGCGTCTGTCACAGCAGCCCCAAATAACAAGCTGATTTTAAGTAGTTTATGTAAAAGAAAAGGGACTGTAATAACCCAGGCGATTTTTAAATAAAAAAGAAGTTGGGGCCAGGGATTTAGTTCAGTGGCACTTGTGCCTTCCTGGCAAGCACAAGGTCCTGAGTTTGATCCCTGGTACTCCAAAGAAAGAAAGAAAGAAAGAAAAAAAAAAAGAAGACGGGGGAAGACCCACGGTACCTGAGTTCAAGGCCTACCTACATAGTAATGGAGACTTTGATGACAGTGAAGGATAAGCGTAATTCAAACAGAACAGAAGTCTAGGGATAGGAGGGCTGGGGATTTAGCTCAATGGTGCTGGGCCCGCCTTGCAAGCACAAGGTCCTGAGTTCGATCCCCAGTACCAATAAAAAAGAAAAAAAGTTTAGGGATAGACTGCCCTGGTATGGTCAGCTAGCTGCTGTTGTTTTTGTTTTGAGACAAGTCTTGCTATGTGGGTCAGGCTGGCCTTGATCTTACTATGTACCCCAGACTGGCCTTGACCTCACAGCGATCCTCCCGCCTCAGCCACCACCATGCTTGGCTCAATAGCTGATCAAACACTTGGTCATCCACACCAAAAATATGAACTTGCCCTGTGCTGCATGCCTCATCCAAAACTTATTCAAATGACTCACAGACCTAAATTAAATACAAAACTATAAAACTCTTAGAAAAAAACAGCAGAAAATCTTCATGATATTGGGCTAGGAAAAAGTCTTATTTATGCCACGGAAAGCAAAGCATATTTTAAAGACTGATACATTTATCTTCATAAAAATTAAAAACCTCTCTGTTCTGTAAAAGACACTGCTCAAAAAATGAAAATACAAGCCACAGGCTGGGACAGAAAGTTTACAAATTTGGCAAAGGATTTGTAGGAAGAACGTGGACAGGATTCTCAGAGCGCAAGAAGAAGGAACATACGCTGCTCCTTGTAAGGGAGTTGGGTACGTGGATGTACGTCCAGCGTCACGTGCCACTGGTGAAATGCAGACTAAAGCCTCGAGGAGCCACGGCCAGGAGCCACCCGCCGGGACGGCAGAGGCAACCACGGGGAGGTCAGGAGGACACAGCTGCGCAGCTCCTGGGAGGAAGCTGACGAGCCAGCCACTGTCCACCATCCCGCCCCGATGTTGGCAGAAGGGACTCAAACTGATGCCCATCCAGAAGAGGCTCTGCTCTGTGAGTCCGTTTCCATGACTTCCTAGTGCGGACGATGCATGGGGTGGTGGTCGGGCTGAGGGTGGCTTGTCAGTCGCCAGGTTACAGGACCCTGTGGGCTTCTCTAAACTCCTAGGTCTGTGTTCTTGAAAGTTTTCCCGTAGGTCCTTGTAGAATTAAAGTAAGAAGGAAGCACAGGGTGCTGTGGGGACAGGGGAGGGGACATCATGACACTGGCGAGTCACCTCCTGGTGTGTCCAGGTGCAGATGCCACCCTAGGGCGATCTGCGTGTGAACCCTGTTCCCATCTACCAGGAACAAAGGCCTTGGGCCAGCAAGGGGCTTCCATGGCCACAGCAGAATGGGGACCGCGTCTCCAGTGTCACGAGAGCAATGGCACTTCCTAGGCGACCCTGGGAAGGGGACTGAGGGTTGACGCCTGGGACCAGGTACAATATGGGGTCAACCAGATTCTTGGCTGAAAGTTGCCCTCACCCAGCAGGCAGTTCAGGGTTTCCTTCCACAGAGTTTGAGAGTCAGGGGCACAGTACAGAGACCTGGTGATGCCCCCGCAGCAGAGGGCGTGCAGCACCGGCGCTCAGCCCTGCGGACAGGTGCACCCTGCAATGTGTGGCATGCAAGGTGCTGGACTTCGGTGTCTCTTCCCTCCCCCAAGCCTCTCTCAGTCCGACCACAAGAAAACATCACACTGACTCCAGGAAAATGACATTCTATAAAATACCCTTGCAGCGCTCCTCCAAACAGCCACAGCCAGCAAAAAACGAGGAAAGTCTGATGCTGGGTGTGGTGGCACATCTGTAATCCCAGCACTCTGGAGGCCGAGGCAGGAGGATCTCCTGGGAAAGAGCAACTTCGTGAGACCTCATCTCAAAATAAAAAATACAAAAAAGACCAGGCATGTACCTCAGTGTGGAGGCTCTGGATTCAACCCCCAGAACTCCCCCAACCCTCAAAAGGAAATTCTGACTCACAGACCACCACAAGGAGGCGAAGAAGACAGGACAATTAAATGCAAAATGGGGTCTTAGATGGGATTCTGAATAAGAAAAGGGTCAACGGGTAAAACTCTAAAAAGCACAGCTTTCACTATTAATTCTGCAATGGCATTGGTGCATTAATTCCAACAAATATGCTCTAGAAATATACGATGTTAATGATAAGGGAATCTGGGTGTAAGTCCCTATATCACAGCTTCAACTTTTCTGTAAACCTAAAACTGCTGTAAAAAGTAAACTGCTTATCTGGAAGCCCCCCAAAGCCTTACGTGCTCACAGCTCAGGCCCTGGGGAGCCGACTGGAGCACAGTTGTGTGGCACTCGGAGTGGGTTGGCCCCTGACGTGCACAGCTGAACGCGGGGAGGTGGTCCCTGGGGCCTGGCCTGGAGGGTCGTCTCCCTCCTCCTCCTCCCTTGATCCGCCTCTGCTTCCCACTGCCTGCAGCAGTTGCTGCTCCCTGTGATGTTGCTCCACCAGGCCACCTGCTTTGGAGTCAGCTGTCTGTGGACTGAGTCTCCACAATCTGAGCCAAAATAAATCTCTTCTCCTTTAACTTACGGGTGTCAGGTGCTGTGCCCCAGGAACAGGAGATAACTTGACCTGGTCAGGGGTCAGAGATGCCCAGAAGCACTGCTCCCACCCCAGCCCGCTCCGGGCCTTTGAGCCACCTCACCTGATGCTGGTCAGGAGGCAGGAGCCAGCCCTCCACACCCTGCCCAGTTGGAGGATTCGTGTGCAAAGCCAATGTCATATTCCACACCAAAATATTACTGTCGTTCACTTACTTTTACTCTTTTTATACCTGCTGTAATGTCTACTAATATAATGAATGGGGTGACACCTTTTTGAGGGGGGTAAACTCAGAGTCGAACTCAGGACCTTATGCTTGCCAGGCTAAATCCCTGGCCAAGGTGACACCTGTTCATTGTCAAAACTAAGTCACAGGGCCAGGGATTTAGCTCAGTGGTGCCACTGCCAGCCTCGCAAGTACAGGGTCCCGAGTTCTATCTCTGGTACCAAAAAAATAGTCACACGATCTAGTTATCGTAACTGAGAGTCTCAGCTCTGACCTTTGGGACCTGGAATCCAGGGCCTGTGCTCTTCCAAGAGAAGAGGCCCCAGAGCTCTCAGCAGGCAGGGGATGGACCAGGGTCCAGTGGGGCTGGGATGGGGAACCGGCAGGCAAGGGCTACTTCGGCTGGGCACCGTGTCCCCGGAGAGATTTGGGACCCACGATCCCACCCTCTGTCGGTTTCTGAAGTGGAAGACAGAATCAGCTGAAAACCACACCAAGTGTGTTGAACATGCAAATAAACGTGTGCGACAGAAGCGGAGCAGCAATGAGCTGGTGGAGCCTGTGTCGCTCACCTCTGGGTCACAGCGAGAGGCCGGGCTGTGCAGGAAGCAGCGAGCAGGGTGGGCGGGCAACTGTGCGGCCCTGGGTTCGCAGGCACAAAGCTGTGCACACAGGTAAGTAAGGTTCCACGTTTCCTCCCAGTCTTCCTAATATGAGGGTGATTGCCCAGCACTCATGAGCCCTGGGATTACTCCCTAGCACTGAAAAAAATAAAAATTTAAGCAAATTTAAAAATTACTGAATAACTAAAAGATACACAGCATACAATTTACAAATAAAAAGCACACCACTGTTTATTGTGCTTATTGTAAAATCCAGGCATCCAACTAGTTGTCCAAAATGTTATTAACCTTTGACATAATCTCGCATGGGTAGCTGGCCTAGGGGTGAAATTGTCCAATGAACTTGGTTCCAACATGAACCTGGGCCAACACTCAAAGTCAAACATCAGTGATATGTGGTAGAAGCTCACTGAATTGGATGACAGTTTTCTGGAAGACTATTTCTCACGTTTTTGTGCCATGCATAAGAGAACGGTTATGACATCCTTTAAATCTAGTCCACATTAACGTTTTCTGCAGCACTTTCTGAAGTCCTGGTGTCAACCACGCAGTCAGCCCTGGTTCCAAGCCCTTGGCGAAGTCGGCGGTGTGAATGCTCACTGATGATCTTGGGCTGGGAAGAGATGCAGCCACCGGCCAGCTGGCTTCTGCCTTCAGACACAGCGCAGGCAACCACGACTGTGCAAGGATGCTAGCGAGACCACCGCGAAACACTGCACTCCGTCTAAACGTACGTGTCTCCTTGCTGAGGCAAAATACCCAACACCCAAGGTTAAAGGAGGAAAGGTTTATTTGGATCACAGTTTGTGCAGTTTCATTCTATCATCGGCTGGCTGCAAGGCAGGGTGGCCCATAGCAGAGGGCACTGCAGAGGAGAAATGGCTTATGGTGAGCAGGAGGTAGCAAAGCAGCAAGGGCCAAAGCCTCTTTCTGTCCCTTGTTGTAACTAGGCTGTCGGGATTAGGGCAGTGGATGGCGTTAGTAATCGCCCACCCTTAATCCCAGCATTGCACCTTGCACACACACTACAGTCAGCCACTTTGGAAAAGCCCCACCCATGACTGCATGAGGCTTTGGGGCGACGTCTAGACATGGGGCGACAGCCGTGACAACTCAAAACTAGATACTGGCTTGGAAAATTCCTGAACACGTAGCAGTTGGCTCTTGTGATCTACAGCAGCAGCCTCCAGCACACCCTGTGTTTCAGAAAGGAGACCACAGTGGCTTCTGACTGCCACTCAACCAGCTGCAAAGAAGCAGCCAAGCCTTGCCTGCCTAAAACAGCCACGGCGATTTCCCACCATGCTGAGGGCCGGGTATGGACGAGCAGCTGGGCCGGGACTCTCGTGGCTTCCCGCACACCAGCTGCTCTCCAGCAGGCCCAGGCTTCAAGAGGATGTCTTCGGGGTGACAAAAAAAGGCCTGAGTGCATGTCCCCTTCTCTGTCAGTCAGGGCAGCTCTCAGAGCTGAGGAGATTCCTGTAGGGAGGACGCAGTTGTCTCCTTGGGGACAACAGCAGAGCACACAGTGCTGGGAGGCCCCCTGGCGCCGTCACCTCTAGAGACCTCTGGTTTCCACTCCACCCACCTGTGCCGGCCCCCAGAGGGCGCGGAGCACATACCTGAGGAGCAACCCAGGCGGAAATGCTTTTGCTGCGGCTACTGTATCACTACCAGCGGCTCCAGTAGTAAAGATCACTGTAAGTTCCGTGAACACCGGAGAGCTGTTTTGGGGAATTTTCCTCCCATTAAGCAGCTGGTTTGCTTTTTTGCTTTTGGGCACTGATGCCATCAACTGATTATGTGATCTCAAAGCTTCCTCAGTGCTAAGATTTCAAAACTTCAAATGTACATTTTAGTTTTCATTCAACCTCTGTTGCTATTTTGCAATTCTGAAGTTATCTGTTGTTACCCCATCTTTTGTACTTACTTTAAAACTATTTCAAACAACAGTAAATTGATTTAAAATTCTTGCATAGCCCCATGTCATAATTTAAATTATATAGCATACAGAAATTACTTCTATGTTTCCCACAGCATTTTATCTACACTTTTGTGTAACACTTATTTTTTTAAACATGGACATGAATTTTCAGAAAGTTATCTTTTTGGTTTGATTGTTTTCCAGAAGGAGGGATCAAACTAGGACCTTGCGCTTGTGAGGCAGGCTCGGTGTCAACGAGCTAAATCCCCAGCCGAACACTTATTTTTAAAAACACACATTTTTAAAAGTTGTGGTAAATACTTGCAACTTAAAATTTACCTCTAAACCAACTGTAAGTGCGCAGTGCTGCAGGGTTAAGAGAATTCACATGTAAATCAGTCTCCAGATCGCCTCTCACCTGGAAAGGCTGACTCTGCTCCCACCAAGGTCCCCTCTGGACCCAGACCCGCGCGGGGCCCCTTCTGCAGTGAACGCCACTGCTCCGGACTCCCCGGAAGGGGCCTGCGCATTCTCGCTTTGCGGGGAGCTCTCTTCCCTCCGAGGACGTCTTCAAGAGTTGCGTCGTCTGCGGTCATGTGCCCGGCGTCTCTCTCTCTCTCTCTAACTCAGGCCCTTGAACTCAGGAGCTTGTGCTTGCGAGGCAGGTGCAGTGCCGCTGAGCTAAATTCCCGGCCCCTTTCTCTCTCTTTTTAATCAAAATACAAAACATGAATATAAGTTTCACCATTGTTTGCTGTTTTTATTGCCATTCTGTCTGTCTTGCCTATTTCCCCTGGCTAATTTCGTTTTTTCATTGCCAGCAGAGGGCGCCGGCGAGCAGGCATCCCTGGAGGCTGCGCCCAGAGGCGCGGTGGGGGTGTGGGGGGGTGTGGGGGTGAGGGCTGCTTGTCACAGGTGGCTGGCTGCACATCCTCCTGAGAAGGCAGCCTGACCCGGGAAGTCCACACCCCACTGCACTGCTAGGGGTTCGTGTCTGACGAAAGTTGAAGGAAAGCTAGTGTATTTAAATCCAAGGGCCTTCACCGAATGATGGGTGTGGTCTGATTTTGTGTTTCAGAAGAAAATTCCCAGTAACATGAGAAAGTGCGTGAAAAGATAAATGGTTGGCTTTTTACACGTCATTCCCAGAAATATCTACTTACATTGAAACATCTAAATGACTTTGTTAAACCATTGTACCCTCGGTTTTTCCAGTATCGCGGGGACGTTTGAAGCTAGTAATAGGTACATCAAGAGTTTTGTTGAATTGCCTCAGTAACCTTCTGAATGTGGCCTTGCTGCATTCCCAGGGGTTATTCAAGAAAGGAAGTGGGGAACGTTCCTCTAGAAAGCACGAAGTGGGAAAATGTTTTAAACTATTTATAGTAGCACTTAGCTGTGGAAATCCCAGACCTTACCATCTATTTATAGTTATGCTGGGGGTTAAAAGGGTGAAAGCAGAAATCTTGAAAATGTACATGCTCTTACCCAGCAGTTAAAGCTAACAAGCTGTCTCTCTGTGGTTATGATAGCCAGATACTTGTGAAAGTGACTCTGAAATCACAATAAATACATCTTGGCTTGCAGCAAAAACAGTTTGTTAAATGTGAAAGAGCTATGGTTTCTCTGAGGAGGTGATTCTCTTCCGGGCTCCTGTGTTTCCAGGTGACCTGCAGACTGGGTCCATGTGGCAGGCCAGAGGATGGCGGGCTGTACAGTCCGTTCAGGGCCAGAGCGGGTCCAACACGGCCGACTGTTGACTCCAGGACCGAGATCTGGCCAGAGCCCTCAGCCCTGCCCCAGGACACTGACCTCGGGCTTTTCTGCCCAAGCCCATCTGGCCTCAGAGTCTGCTCCTGCACAGAGCAGACAGCGTTGCCACTTGACCTAAAGGAACTGATGGCATCAGCTGTTTAATTTTGGTGTTACCAGGGACTGAATCCAGGACCCTTCCCCTAGACTACATCCCTAGTACCCTAGCAAGCCTCTCGCCCTTTTTAATTTTGGGACAAGATCTTGCTCAATTGCAAAGTTACCCAAGCTGGCCTTGAACTTGTGATCTTCCTGCCTCAGCCTCCGGGAGTGCCTAGCTTCTCACATGGGCCATCCACTTCTCACTCAGGTGTCTCTCACCATCTCTGATGACATCATTCTAGTTGAAGCACTAATTTCCTGTGGCCACTGGGGTGTGGCAGGGGCCACAAGCCCTCTGGGCTGCCCATCATCTCTAGAGAGGGGCTGGCGGTGTCCCAGAAGCCACACGTGCTGTGCTGGGAGGAAACGCCGGGGGCTGTGGTCCTCACCCTGCTCCTGCTGTGGATCACTCAGCCTGTCTCCTCTGGTGAGCTGAGTCAGGGCACAGGACCCTGGGGGCCCCTCTGTGCCATCCTCTCACCCGCAGCCCTGCACTCCACCCCTCCAGGGAACTCAGCGTGGGCTGCAGGGGCGGAAACAGCTGAAGAAGTGGCGCACAGAGGCTGAGGGCTCCTCCAGAAGACGCTGGAGATCTGGGCAGAGCCGCAGGTCAGGCCTCCAGGCTCACTGCAGCACTGGGGGGAGGCACAGCAGGAGATGGTGCAGACTATTCCTCCGCAGCCCTCAGCCTGGGCCCTTGGCCTGGTCCTGCGGGGTGGCGGGTTCCCTTCTGCAGGATATGCTCCTGACAACACTGCAGCTGGGACCTAAGGGTCCACAGCAGGATAGGGACCGGGTGCAGCAGGCAGGCTGAGGACCAGCGCAGAAGGTCTGAGCCGGTCCGGGGGCTGCTCCCCTTCGCCTGACCCCAGCTGTGCCCTCCACCACAGCGCTGGGGTCCCAGAACCCAGAAGGGAGGGCCTGTCATGAAGACCATGGCACAGCCCTGGATGGAAGGGGACCCAGCCGGGGAGGCCTAGCAGAGCCCTCATCATCACACCTGCCCGGCTCCTCAGACGCTTGTCACAGGGGCTGCCAGGCTGGCTGTGGCCGCTGGCCTCTCCCATGCCAGGCCAAGCAATGCCTCCGAGGTCTCAGGGCAGGGAGCAGGGAGGGCGGGCTCACTGTCCTGCAGTGATGGGAGCTCAGAGGGTGATGGGGGCTCCTGGGGCCCACCGTGTCCCCTGCTCCTCACGCTCTGGGAGCTCACACGATGGCTCCGTCTGTGGTCACCCTTGGCTTTGCCGAAAGGCCATTCGCACTCCTGCGTTGTGAATGAAAGTCGGCAGAGGGGCCCCTGGAAGTACAGGTGGGGTGAGCGAGACTGGGGTGGGGTGCAGGTGCATTCGTCTGGGAGAAGACAGTGTCCTCAGGTGACTGCTGAACCCACAGGGCAGGAATCACAGAAAACAAGCGACACAGTCCGCTGCTCCCCACCCCCCTCAGCCCAGTGGCAGCCCGTGGAGCACAGATCCTACACGCCACGCTTTTCCAGAAACAGCAAGCTTTCCTGGTTCAGGAGTCAGATGTGAGTCACAACCAGACGCCACGTGACAGCAAGGGCAGCCCTTCCTGGGCTCTTGTTGGGGGACGGTAGAGACCCGTTCAGAGAACCCTGGGGCGGAGGGTGCTGTGGCTCCTATTCAGAGGCCCAGAAGCCTCACGAGTAAGAAGGGGCTATTTGGGAGGGGCTGAACCTGGAGCGTGCGGTGCTGGGGTTAAGGCAGTGTGACCCCAACTACTCCAGGGAGCCACTGGCTCGGCCCCGCCCTGATCCTGGTGGTCTAAGTAAGATAAAAGGGGCAGAAAGAGGCCATTAACCCCTCTCTTGTTGATTTCCCTGCCTCTGCAACCAGGAAATGCTGCCCCTCTGCCACTCTGCCTTGGAGCCAGCCGATTATGGACTGGATACTCTTTGAAGTGTGAGCCAAATAAACTTTACCCCTTCAACTTTTGGTGTTGACTATTTTGATCTCAGCAATGAGAGAAAAGTAATTGACACAGTGGGAAAACTGAGGCCTGCATCA